TATATTTGAGGAGGTCAACCTTGTTTAGCAACTGATTGGGAGGCTTTCAGAACAGAACTCTAATTTTGACCCCACTATCATAGTATGTAACTCCCTGAACTCCGAGCTTCAGTTTCTTGTCTACAAAATGAAGGCGTGGGGTACTATTGGCTGATTCTGGGGCACCATGAGAAACAGTTAATGGGCACTCTTACTTCATAAGAAAATCCTCTGAATTAAAAAGCATCTAAATGATAAAATCTGGGGTTGAGGGTTGTGTATATATAGAGAGAAGTAATTTATTAACTCCGATATGATTTTCCTTTCATTTCCCATGGGAATTGCAGACATTCAATGGTCTTTCTGGAAGTTGGCATATTCGATGCCTATTTTTGAAACTAAAACTAGTTTTCCATGTATTTTCTATTGTATCCACAGAGTCATATTAAGTAGTTTACAACCAGTCTTTCAAATTACATGTGAGTAGTGTTCAAATACTGCTCTATTTTATTATGTGGCATTTAGGGTGGTTGGTTAAGAGGCTCTGCCACATCTTAACCAGCATAATCAAATGGTGTGTATTTAAATGCCGTGCCTCTAGGATAATAACTTAAAATGGTTTCTGAAGAAGTGGGGGAGGCCTTCAGTTTGAAGACTTTCTCCAGGGCTGGGTTGCGTAGGTCGTACTTGAGATTTAATCAAGTGTAGGTTTCCAAGTTAATAATCTCTTAACATTAAAAAGAAAATGTAAAAACCGCCTACACAGTGATGTGATATAACCCAGTGTGTATTTATTTGAACTTTTACTCTTGTGTATTCAATAGCCTCAAACTTTGTAGTAAAGTACCTTACCAATCCACACATTGATCAGTGACTGTTCTTCAATATGTGGGACTATTCCCCTCAAGGGTCAAATGCTGACCGTGAGGCTTATGAAATATCAATTTGGCATCTTATTGTGCCAAAGAAAAACCAGTGGTCTAACCTATGGATCCAGGCTGGTGGGAATTAATGGGAATAGAATGTCACAGAAGCAGTGCCTCTGGGTGGGAAGGAATATACTGGTAGTGGAAATACCTTGTTAAGTGAAAAGTGGAGAAAGAAATAAGAAGCCTCCTCACCTCTAAACAACACAAGATACATCTCCTAACATTTCCTCACAGACACACATGTAGATAATATGTTGCTCTAGAGCAGGGGTGGGGACATCCGGCCCAAGAAATCATATGATCTGGCCCTGCCAAAGCATTAGTGTGAGCTAATGAAATGTTTGAACAAATATAGCAGGCTAATTTTTAAGCTGATAATTTAGTATGGCCCTCGGATGATATTGTAAATATCCAAATGGCCTGTGGCAGAGAAAAGTTTTCCCTACCTCTGGTCTAAAGCCTCAACTCTGGAAACAGATTTCATGTATTTAAATCCCAGCAGTCTTGGTTGTATTTAGTTAATTAACCTCTTTGTATAGTGGAGAAATATGAATACCTAATAGGGTTATGCTTATGATCAAATGAAATCATGCACATTAAGTGTCTCATGCATGTGCAGAGTACCTTGTAAGCACTCACTTGATAATCAGTGATGACATTAAAATAAGTATTTTTCCTGCCTATCTGTTTCTTTAAAAGTAACTTAATCTAACCAAAGAAACAAGATTGAGTTCCTTTGTGGGTGTGTCACAGTCATTCCTGAGGAAACATGGAACCTATCACACTGCACATGATGACAATGGAACTACTCATGACATTGTCAGAAATCCAAGTCTTCACCCAGGTGATGTACATTTCCCATCCGACAAAGACTGAGGAGCTGAATCCTTGCCCATACACATTGTACCAATGGGTTAATGTGTTCAGAAAAATTATATTATGGAATGCTTTGCCTAGAATGAAGAAAACTATATAAAGGCATTACTATAGACTGAAGAAGTATGGCTCCTCGACAAATGGAAAGCTAGAATATGTGGAGAACAAGACAATGAGAAAGAAATATCTTCATGGGCTTAGGAAAAAGTTCCAATGAGTGTAATGTATTCTTTCCTATCATTCCACTATTTTGACCCCTCCTGAGAGCAATATTTGAATACAAAGTGAGGAAGTATATGTATGTATATGGTGGATCAGTGACCCCAAATTGACACTGTGTAAAAAGTCAGTACAGGTCATTGGGGTGGACACTGAAAATGTGCTGATGCACCAATGAAGATAAATAATTGTGAACTCTACAGGGGCTCTGGCTCTGGATTCTACCTGCTGCTGCCTCTGGCTGACAACAGCACACCAGCTGCCTCATCTGCTCTGGCCTGCTGGGTCAGCAGAGTACCCTGCTGCCCACACGGTGCTCCCTGTCAGGGCAGCCAGCCCCAGCCACGCTGCCCCTCCCAAGCATCTCTCCCCTCCTGACCCTGTTCTGTGGAAAAGGACCACCAACAGTGTCTTCCTTCTTCCCATTGAATCCCTCTACCTACTTTGAATCTAAGTGATGACCAGTCTGTTCACAGACACACTTTTTCTTTTTCCCTTTATTTCCCTTCCTCTTTTTTCCCTCCCTTCCTTCCTCTTCCCTCCTCTTCTCTCCCTCTCTCTCTTTCTCTCTCTCTCTCTCTCCCTCCCTCTCCCCTTCTCTCCTTTATGAAATAGGCTACCATAGAGCTGCTTTTCTAAGGATTCAGCTATGGAGACTGTAACAAGACACCTCAGAAACCTGAATGGTGATGGTGGGGTGGGCATGGTAGAAGTACCATTCCTGTTACATAAGAAGCAGAGCTTCTCCTTTAAAATGTTCATACTTAGGCTTTGGGTTCAAGAATCACTGATTTTTATTTATTTATTTATTTGGCAAACTAAATAGCTTCTTTTTACCTTAAAGCCTAATGAACTTTTTAAATTCTACTATTCTGTATTGCACCTCCTAACTTTCCCATAAGGTGGGAAATCAATGCAAAGCCCAATGCTGATGCCCCTGCTGCCTCTACATACTGCTAAATTCAGAGCTAGTGTCTGTGTGGGCTGTTCTATCAGGCAGTACGGGCCCCCTCAAAGGTAGCACATTATTTATCACAGCACTGTGTGCTTCTCACAAAGGTAATTAAGGGTGACTGCTGTGAAATCATCGAGGGCAATATGATTATGACACACTTGTCCAATTCCTTGATTCTCAGTTTACAAATAAAAATTATATAGGATTCTTGACATTTCACTGGCTATTTTCTAATTGTGCTTAATTTAAAAGTGGATTTTTTGTGAATAAGGCAATGTTATTATGGGGCCTGAGATTACCTTTCATCACTACCAGCAGATTAGCAGTATCTCCATTATCTTTGATCCAGTTCATGCTCTCTTCATCCTTCTCAAGTATGCCATCCTTCCTTCCTCCTTACCTTTCCTGTCTTGTCTATAGTTATCATTACATTTGTTAATTGAAATATGTCATTAGTACACTTCTGGGTGTGATAGGAAGAAAAGATACTTCAATGCAAATTTATAGTTGCTCACTTTCTCTAATCCAATTGTCCAATTTTCTCTTTTCCAATCCCTATAAAATCTGCTAAATATATGTTATTCTATTTATCCAGGTCACCCAATAATTCATCATTGAGGCCATTTTCCCTCTTATTTATGGCATTCCTAAAGTTAGAAATGAAACAGATAACTACATTTCTTAACAAATGTCTTCTCAAGTGTCTTGAGATATTGATGACTATATCTGAAGTGAAGAACACCGATGTTTGGTCTTTGGAGACATGTAAACAGGGGTATGAATTCTAAACTTCATATTGATTTAGCTTTTACATATCAATATTCCTTCAACTCTTACGGACTGAAAGCAATGCAGGTTATGAGTCAGAATAGTTGTGGTGTTTTTTCTTATGAGTTGGATTTTAGACATTTTGAAATGACTTTAATATTTCATTTAAAGAGAACTCTCACTTAAATTGAATTAAATTCAATTTCTCCTAAAACTCTCTCTCTCTCTCTCTCTCTCTCTCTCTCTCTCTCTCTCTCTCTCCCTCCCTCTCTCTCTCTCTCTCCCTCCCTCTCTCTCTGTTTGTCTCTCTCTCTCTCTGTCTCTTTCTCTCTCTTTTCCCTTGAAGTCTCCTCTAAACTCTATAAAGTAAGATAGAGACATCTCTCTTGGCCATAGTATCTCTCGATTTTTCAGTTGAACCTGTGTAGAAGCAACCTTCTAGTTGCTTGTTATTTCAAAATTATAATAGTTATTTGTACTTTCTCCTTTAGTCCAAATAAACTTTCTGTCCCAGCATGTGCTAACATTTTTGTTGGTTTTATTTATTCTGATAAACATATTCTTATTCCAAATGTTATCATCTTCCATAATCTCTGTATACTTCTGTTTTTCAGGGAGTGTTTTCTTCTATGCTCAGAGCCTCCAGCCAGCAGGGCAAGGGTCAGATACCGAACTGTAATATGTTGCTACAGAGTAAGGCCCCAAGGTGTGCTCTCCTACTAGCATCACTAATGTATCATGACTGATCCCTCCTCAGTCCGCCTTTAGGATTTTCTTTGGTTTTCAGAAATGCCCCTGTCTCCTTCAGTCCATCTGTCTTCTAAAAATGCATCAGATAAGCAATGTTTCCTGCTGTCATGTGGAAATCTGTCAGCAACCATTCTTCCTCCCTTAGGTTTTACATTGTTTTAATCATTAATTCCACTTTTCCTTGTGTTGTTAATAATACACTTTCTTTCTCCAGCCTCTCTTCTTCCAGCACCTAATTCATCCTCACTTTATATTAATCACTTTAATCACTGCCATATTTATACTGTCATCTCCTCTCTTTAAAGATACCATCATCAAAAAGGTTTTTGTTCTCCAAATAAATAACAAACAAACAAACAAGCAAACAAAAACAAAGCAGCTATCCAAAGTGAGCCAGAGAATAGAGAGAGAAGTTGTTTCACTTGTAAATTTGTCTTATTCAGAGGTATTAATAGGTAAAGACATGATTTTTAAACTTCAACCAACCAGATGCTCCCAGATTTGGCCTGTGTTGGCATACTTACTGAAAAGGACTAGGCTGGCATTGGTGACCCCCAGCTTGTTGGCAGCCACGCAGGTATAGTTGCCATAGTGATCCTCAGTGACGTTGGTCACTGTCAGCGAGGACTGGCCCTCCGTGCTCTTAATCTCAAGGCCATTGGCACTGTTTATCCTAAGAGTGAAAAACAGAAGAGTAATAAGAAACACTGATGATTTAGCTTAGTAATTTCTTTTTCATCATTATAATGGAGGCAAAGAAGAGAAAGGAAGTGGTTAAAGTTCTTCTGTTAAATCCTCATTTTAATTGTGCAATTCCATATATTGAATCAATTTCCATCCTTGAGAAGACTCAGGATGGATGAGTTTCATTGGGCCTTGGTTTCTGCTATTAGCAAGAAAGACATGCAGGTGAAAACTACCCACTGGACCACCTGCCTCACTCTCTGCATGTAACCAGAGTGCTTTTGCAGCTTCAGCTTAAGAATTACAGTCCTGCCTTAACTGGTTTGGCTCAGTGGATAGAATATCAGCCTGTGGACTGAAAGGTCCCAGGTTCAATTCCAACCAATGTACCTTGGTTGCGGGCACATTCCCAATAGGAGGTGTGTAGGAGGCAGCTGATTGATGTTTCTTTCTCACTGATGTTTCTAACTCTCTGTCCCTCTCCCTTCCTTTCTGTAAAATAATCAATAAAATATATTTTAAAAAAAAGAATTACAGTCCTGAAAGAACTTGATAAAGAGATTTGGAAAAGAAAGAATCTGATAGTAGAGGCTATGGAATTACAGTCGGTATGTTTTTGTCATTAGGGCTTCTGGTGCCCCTAGGACCAGCTATCAGAGCAGTCAGGGCACAGCAGGTTTGGCACATACATACCTGGTGTCATCCCGGTACCATTCAAAGTCAGGGGCAGGCACCGCGGAGGCCTCACATTTGAGTGAAGCTTGTCGCCCTGTGGTGGCTTCGTTGCTCTTGGATTCCGTGATAGTGGGAGGATCTGTGGGAAGGACAGGTACACAGTTTACATGATGATTGGAGGGCACTCCAGAATTTTCCATGGAAGAAGGAATTAAAAAGGAGACTCTGACAGGGAAGGTGCAGGAAAGAAATAGTCTTAGAACTCGATTTACATGAATTATGTGATCAACTGAATGCGACTGATCACTAGAAAACTAAATGAAAGTAAGAGACGACTAATGAAGCCACAGACATGGTTTACTTAAATGGGAAACTTAACGGGGTTTTATGGAAATAGAATCTAAGATTCCTTTTTCCTTCCTCCAATACCATCAATTACTTCAATCATAGATTGTAATATTGCTCTAGTTTTTTTCTTTTCATAAACTAAATGATGATACTAAAGGATTTGAGTTTTTATGTATACTTTGAGCATTTTTCATTTTCATCATTGTGATTATCATCATTGTGATTATTATAGTTTGTGATGATAGGAAGAAGTCTGATGAAAATAATTCAGGGCTAAAGTTCTCCCAACCCAAGCTTAGTCTAGTATTTTTTCAGGAATTCAGAAAAACAAACAGTTAAATATTAGATGATTACTTAAAACTCTTTGTCTTCTATGTTTCCTTATTGCTGTGACCCAGGTAAATTTTTCTTTGATGTAGGAAGATACAGTTTGACATCTATCCTGGTGTCAACCTTCTCCTCTCTCTGGCAGCTGTGCACTGGGTTCTGCTTTCTTAGAACTGGCCTACACAACTGTAACAAAACACATCTAACATTCTGATTTGCCATGGTTCTTTTTTTTTAATAAACATATTTATATTCCCTTATCCATTACCATTTAAAATATTTTAAATTTAGTGATTTGAAAGAGAGAAAAGAGTCACTTTGTAGTTCCATTTATTTATGCATTCATTGATTGATTCTTGCACGTGTCCTGATCAAGGATAGAATCTGAACCCTTGGCTTATTGGTATGACACTCTAACCACCTGAACTGGCTGGCCAAGGCAGTATTATTATAGTTTTAAAAAATCATTATTTTTTTTATTAGTTTCAGGTTTACAGCATATTGGTTAGACAATTATATACTTTACAAAATGTTCCCCCTAATATTTCTAGTACCCACCTGGTACCATACATAGTTATTCAAAATTATTGACTATATATTTTATGCTGTACTTTACATCCCCAAGACTATCTTGTAACTACCAATCTGTACTTTTCAATCCCTTCACCCTTTAAGTTCCATAACCCCCTCCCCTCTGGCAACCATCAGTCCATTCTCTACGAGTGATTCTTTCTTTCTTTCTTTCTTTCTTTCTTTCTTTCTTTCTTTCTTTCTTTCTTTCTTTCTTTCTTTAAAATATATTTTATTGATTTTTTACAGTGAGGAAGGGAGAGGGATAAAGTGTTAGAAACATCGATGGGAGAGAATCATCGATCAGCTGCCTCTTGAACACCCCTTACTGGGGATGTGCCCGCAACCAAGGTACATGCCCTTGACCAGAATCGAACCTGGGACCTTTCAGTCCGCAGGCGGACACTCTATTGAGCCAAATCGGTTTCGGCTATGAATGATTCTTTCAAACAATCCTACAGAGAGTGAACAGGTGTTCACAAGTTCACATGGCAGAGTTAGGATGGCAGATGTGAACTCCTGGCTTAATGGTTCTGTGTTTGTGGAGGTTCTGGACCTTTTAGGAAAATGTGATTTTTATTTTTTTTTGTACAAAACCTATTTTCCAAAAATGGCAACCTGACAGCATGTGCATAGAACAAAGAGACCCAAACTATCTGTTTAGACTTTGCAGAGAAAAAAGCTTATTTAAGGAAAATAGTAAAGTGATCTCAGTACATAAAATTCACTTAAATCTCTTCAGTGCCTGGTTCAGCTCATTTATTTCTGTGGGTTTTTTTTTTTTTTTTACCCTTCAAATTCACATACTACTTATTTTTTTTGGTTTTATGCCTGGAGAAGACTCTGATCTTAGAAAAGATATATACAAAAGCATCCAGTGAATCTGCAGTTTTCTCTCCACTTCATTTTAATATAAGCTTGGATATCTTAAATCATTGTCAGAGATGAGAAGTTAGAGCACATTTGGATAAGCACATCAGCCTGTGTGTAAATGGATGTCTCAGAGTGGGTGGTGGTTGCTTTAGAATTATCTGCTCATTTTTGTATAAGCACAAAAAGGCAACATGATGAGTGGAAAGAACCCTGGGTTGGAAACTAGGAGTTCTGGAATTTAATTTCAACTTGCTTCTGTGGACTTCCCATCACATACTTTATCTTTCTGAGTCTTGGTTTTATTACCAATGTAATGAGGGAACCAAACTTTAATGATCTATAGCACCCTTCCAGATAGTAAAAAGAATATCCCAGATCTAGTAAAGCTGCTCATTCTTTACAAATGGACAGTTTGTATCATTATGACCCAAATGTATTTTCATACCCAAAACTCATTTAACCCTTAAATTTCTAACTTTTAAAATTATAGCTCATTTATTCATTCCATGGGTTAGGAGTCAGGATTAGTAGTTAGAATGGGAAACAGAAGGACTGGTTTTGATTTTTCTCTTGGAGGAAGAAATGATTTTTCTGATTGAAAATTTGGGGAGGAACAAAGTAGATTTATTTGGCTCAGCACATCCCCTTCTTGCTTTTGGGACCAAGCTTCAGAGGTTCTCTTCTGCTTCTCAACACTGAAGTCTTACTGGGGCTCTCTCCTTCCCACTCTTAGGTGGGCAAGCCTGCTCTAGTCCAGTGCTACCATAATTTTGGAGGTAAGTCAGCCACACAAGCTACTACCTCTAATAATCTTGATCTCTAAAAAATGGCGCTAATAGGCCTCCCCTACGTATTTATTTCTCAATGTGTTCAGAACCAAAATAGTTAAGTAGTAAGCTATTTATTAACTCCTCAGAAATGCCAGCATGGGAAAAGTGGCAGTAAATTGTGGTTGAATAGTATTAACCGCATCAATCTTGGGACAGGATGACACCAGTCAATGACAAAGGCCAAATACTTGATTCTCTCATTGAAAATCTAGGCAGTTTCTCATACTAAGGTAAATTCCTAGGTAAAAACAAATGTATGAAGAGCACATATTTTCCAATATTTCTCAAATGACACAATGCTTCAGATCTATTTATTCATGGTTTATTGGAGTGAACATTTCAAAATTCATTTGTGATGAATTCTATATAGGTGAGGCTAAGAAAAATTGTTACAAATCATATTGTGGCATGCCTATTATAGTTAAAATAATAGATGTCCTTTCTCAAAATATGGTTATAATAAAAATGTGACTTAATAAAAATGTTGCATGGAGGTCCATTGTTATTTGTTATATGACTTTGGAATAGCTTACAATTGTCAAAGGACTTTTCCAGTTTTTATTACTTCAAAATTCTGGGTTCTGAAAATATTAATAAGAGCTTTCTTCTTATATCACCAATAACAAGACTCTTTCAATTAGAATGAGCAGGATAACAATGACAATGGCCTAGCAAACAGAATAGCATTCATTTACTCTTTTTAATATTAGGAATAATAGTTTACATAATTAAATTCTTAATGAGGAATTCAATTTATAAGTATTTACCATATGTCAGTACTCTGTTAGGCTTTATATTATTTCATCTAGGTAGTAGCCATTAGGAGATAAGGATTATTAATCCATTTTATAAATGAGAAGACAGACATACAGAGGGTAGTAACTTGTCCAAATTCACATAGCCAGCATTTGAGCGAGTCTAGATTTTAACCCATCTTTCAGGAGCCCATGATCTGATCCTCTCTCTGCTTCCATCTGAATTAATTCCTTTAGATAAAATGAATTCCTGCTAATAAAAAATATCATTTAGAGGAGCATGCTGGTAGCTTAAAGGGTAAATATAACATTATTCTGCTATTACAGAAAACAAAAAATGGTACAACATACAGTTACATAATGGATATAAACTCACATTAGGAATTAGGATATGTGGGCTCAATTTCTGCCTGTATCACTTAGGTGGTGACCTCCCTACTGTTGATGTCCTGGAGCCCCTGATCTATTAATGTAGATGATGATATCTGCCTACCTATCTTTCAGATTTAATGTGAAAATTAAATATATATATATACACACACACTAGAGGCCCGGTGCACAAAATTCATGCACAGGGGGTGATGTCCCTCAGCCCAACCTGAACCTTCTCCAATCTGGGACCCCTCGAGGGATGTCTGACTGCCCGTTTAGACCTGATCCTGATAGAATTAGACCTAAATGGGCAGTCAGACATCCTTCTCACAATACAGGACTGCTGGCTCCCAACTGCTCACCTGCCTGCCTTCCTGATTGCCCCTAACTGCTTCTGCCTGCCAGCCTGATCACCCCCTAACCACTCCCACGCCAGCCTGATTGATGTCTAATTGCTTCCTTGCCAGCCTGTTTGCCCCCAACTTTCCTCCTCTGCCAGCCTGGTCATCCCTAACTGCCCTCCCCTGCAGGCTTGATGGCCCCCAACTGCCCTACCTTGCAAGCTTGATCCTTCCCAACCGCAATCCCCTGCTGGCCATTTTGTGGCAGCCATCTTGTGTGTTGGAGTGATGGTTAATTTGCACATTACTCTTTTATTTCAGAGGAGATTATATATATATATATATATATATAGTCTATGGCTACGTGCAATGCCATAGGCCCACTGTGAGCAGTATCAAGGGAATTAAAAAAGGAGATTTTGCAGAATCTCTGTGAGCTACTATAAACAGGAGGTCTGTTTTGCCTATAAAAAGGTCTCTCTTGCTGACTGCTCTAGCTTCTCAGTGCCCTGCAACAAATACCTGTTAGCCACTAAGTAAAGGAATCAATATAATGTTGATAGAAGATAATTACCATCACTGGAAATTTTTTTTTATATTGGTACTCAGGATTTCTTTCATTACAACTATTCAGCCATTAATTATATGAGCTATCTGATCTCCTGACCTAACTGCAAACCCTGCGTTTTGAAGGGAAGTGGGGTCAGTTTAAATAATGGGGCATTTTTATAGTAGGCAAGCTTGGATAGAGTGACAAAGTTAATACTAGATATTTCTCACTACCACAAGTTTTGCTAGCCAGACATAGTGATATAATTTAATGTTGAAGACTTCATCTTTTTATTTTTTTAAATATATATTTGTATTGATTTTAGAGAGGAAGGGAGATATATAGAGAGATAGAATCATCAATGGTGAGAGAGAATAATGGATTGGCTGCCTCCTGCATGCCTCCTGGGTGGGGAAGGATTGAGCCTGCAACCTAAGCATATGTGTCCTTGGCCAGAATTGAACCCAGAACCTTTAAGTACCCAAGGAGATGCTCTAGCCACTGAGCAAAACTGACCAGGGCAAGATTTAATCTTTTTAATACAATCACAGTAAAGTAGAACAAGTTGTGTGAACAGGGCAAGAGAAGCAGTGACTAGTTGTTATAATGTAATAGAGGCTCTGTGCACAAAATTCGTGCACGGAGGTGGGGTGTCTCTCAGCCCAGCCTGCACCCTCTCCAATCTGGAACCCCTCGAGGGGTGTCCAACTGCCCATTTAGGCCCAATATTGGTGGGATCAGGCCTAAACGGGGCAATTGGACATCCCTTTCACAATCCAGGACTACTGGCTTCCAACTGTTCTCCTGCCTGCCTTCCTGATTGCCCCTAACTGCTTCTGCCTACCAGTCTGATCACCCCTAACCACTCCACTGCCAGCCTGATTGATGCCTAACTACTCCCCTGCCAACCTGTTTGCCCCTAACTGCCCTTCCATTCAGGCCTGGTCACCCCTAACTGCTCTCCCCTGAAGGCCTGGGTCCCACCCAACTGCCCTTCCCTGCAGGCCTGGTCACCCCCAACTTCCCTCCTCTGCCAGCCTGGTTGCCCCTACCTGCCCTCCCCTGCAGGCTTGATTGCACCCAACTGCCCTCCCTTGCAGATCTTGTCCCTCCCTACTGTGGTGACAATCTTGTGTCCACATGGGGGCAGGATCTTTGACCACTTGGGGGCAGCCATTTTGTGTGTTGGAGTGATGGTCAATCTGCATATTACTCTTTTATTAGATAGGATAGAGGCCTGGTGCATGGGTGGGGCCAGCTGGTTTGCCCTGAAGGGTGTCCCGGATCAGGGTGAGGGTTCCCTTGGGGCATGGGTTGGCCTGGGTGAGGGGCCTGTAGTGGTTTGCAGGTCTGCCATGCCCCCTGGTAACCCAAACAGAGGCCCTAGTATCTGCAATTTATTTACCTTTTACAATTGAAACTTTATAGCCTGGAGCGGAGCCAAGCCTCTTACTAGCTCTGTGGCCAGCAGCCATTTCTGATTGGGTTTGTTTACCTTCTATAATTGAAACTTTGTAGCATTGAAGGGAAACCCAAGCCTCCCTCCTGCTCTTTGTGGCTGTAGTCATCTTGGTTGGATTTATTTGCAAACTCACTCTGATTGGCTGGTGGTAGATAGGATTATAAATACTTACAAATGCTACATCCCTCTCCCCATTTATTTATTTTTTATGGAATTTATAAAATTATATAGGTTTCAGCTAAAACTGGTTTGGCTTAGTGGATAGAGCATAGGACTACAGACTAAAGGGCCCCAGGTTTGATTCTGGTCAAGGGCATATACCTTGGTTGTGAGCACATCCCCACCTAGGGGTGTTCAGGAGGCAGCTAATTGATGTTTCTAACTATCTATCCCTCTCCATTCCTCTCTGTAAAAAAATCAATAAAACATATTTTTTTTAAATTTTGTTAAAATTATATAGGTTTCAGGTGTACAGTTCTCTGTATATTGTAGTGTGTTTAACAACCAAAGTCAAGTCTCCTTCTATCCTTATTTTTACCTCCTACACTCTCTTCTCCCTCTTCTCCCTCCCCTTTCCCTCTGATAGTCACCATACTGTTGTCTGTGTCTAGGAGGTGTTTTTCTTTGCTTAATCTCTTCACCTTTTTCACCCAGCCGTGCAAACCTTCTCCCCTCTGACAGCTGTCAGTCTGTTCTCTATCTATGAGTCGGTTTCTGTTTTGTTTTTTGGTTTATTTTGTTCATTAGATTCTACATATGAGCGAAGTCATTTAGTATTTGTCTTTCTCTGACTGGCTTATTTCACTCAGCGTAATGATCTCTAGGTTCATCCAAGCTGTCGCAAAGAGTAAGGTTTCTTTCTTTTTTAAACACAGCTTATGACATGTTGGTAAAAAGATGATTCCAAAGGAAACTGATATTTGAATATACTTCTTGATGTGTAGCTAACATCATTGATGGAATTTGGAGAAATGTTAAGAGGGCAGAGTGTACCTGTGAGTTTCCACATACTCATTCAGTAAACATTTACTGGATGTCTGACTAAACTCATTATACTAGATTTCCATTATGATGTTTTTTTTTGTTTTTGTTTTTGTTTTTAATCTCAAGGTTCTGTCCATATCTTCTATGGTTCACTCATCACTAGCAAAAGCTCACATTTTCATGAAAGCCTTTTATCGAAAATTAGTGATATTTTCTTCTCTTCTAAGTTACACTTTGGGGACAGTCAAAAAGGAGCAATGTCAGACTAATTGCACTAATAATAAAAGGGCCCAGGCGGCTGGCTTTGATCCGGGGAACCATCTGTAATGAAGACCACTTTGATGTTCCTCACAATGCAAGCATAAATATTTTCTATGTATTCTATGATTGGACTTTCAGAAATCTAATTAAGATGAAGGTCAATTAAGAGAAAATAAAATCTTAACTCCAAAAGTCAGAGAAGAGATGGAAAATGATGGAATGGCTGTATGTACATAAGAGAAGCTAACTAACCTAATTACAACTTGCATAAACACCCAGAGAAAGTGTCTTTCATGTGGAAAAGAAAGGTCCTAAAGCATTTTATAACATTGAGATCATTAATGTGTCTTTGAAACACACCCAGTTCTGAAAAAGAATAGGAATACTGACATTTCAAAACTCTATTACAAAAAAAAAATAAAAAAATAAAAAAGCAGACAGCTCAGGGATAAAAGCTCTTCAGACCTCATCAAATGCAGCCCCTTGCTTCTTGGAAATGAGTGCCATCCATGTCTCTCTGGTGGAGCTGTACTACTGGATTCTAGGTATGCGGTGTAGAAGGCTGCAAAGCTGGAGGAAGGCCCCTGGGTACAGCGCAGCCCAGCCTGGCTGGCTCATTTTAGGCAAGTTTCCTCAGCAATCTGTGTCTTTGTTTCCAAATTTTAAAGTCAAACCAAAGTTTACTGTGGATATTAAATGACAAGTGTAAATCCCTTAATCCAGTGATGCACATTGTAGATAATAAGGACTGAAAACTCCTTCTCCTCCCCTTTTTCCAGAGAGCATGAGCTTTAGAATCAAACTTAGTCTATGTCCCTCCCTTTCTTCTGTCTGCTGCTCATGTCACCTAGGAAAGGCCATTTTATGATTTTGGGCTTCAGTGTCTGAAACTCTAAAGTGGAATGAATTATATCTACCCTCCCAGAGAATTTATATAGACTCACTGGCACACATGTAAAGGCACGGAGGACTTAAGATAACAAAAAGTTATCAGTCTAAAGCATATGTTCAAATAGGGGTTGTTTGTATCTGTGTCTGTGTGCCTCTCTGTGTTATTATGAGCATATGTGTATATTTCTGAGTATTAAATACAGAGAAGGAGAGAACTGTCGGGCTATCCCTTTGTCTATGTCACTAGTCACATTGTGTGATGTGAAAATGAATTTGAATGATGTGGGAAATCACTCCTCACTGAAAAGGGTAAACAAATTCTCTTTATTCATTTTTTTAGGTGACACACATCTTATGGAGCTACCCCTCCCCGCCCCCATCTTTTGAACTACATCTAAGGATTCTTTCATCTGAAAAGTTCAAAATATTCCCACTTACCTAATGCCCAAAGTATGTATCTCATACTTTACAACAAATAGGTAACCAAAATTAACTTACATATCTCTGTTAGCTCTCAGGGATACATGGTTTCTGACCATAGTGGACTGAATTTGTTCCCAAGGCCAATTAGTTAAGTAGCAGGGGATAAAATATGATCTTAAGTTATTCCATCTGACAAACAATGCATTAAAGGGAAATTTTCATTTAAAGCCAATATGAATTGTTCTTTTTTTTTTGTCCAAAGTAGTATGACCTTGGTCTCCACAAAGACTCCAATAGTGATTGCCAGAAATGCTAGTGCTCTCTGATCATGTTTTCTTAATTCTATAGTCTGAGTAAAAGGCAAAGTATATTGTTAAATGTATTATGGGTTTTATTTAGAGTTGATCAAGTAGATTTATCATATTCAAAGCCAAGTCCTGCCCTTGGATATGTCGAATGTATAAATGTGCATTTCTGACCAGAGAACATCTGCTTGAAATGCACTGTTCTTTTGCTAATGGGATGTTTAGAGCTCACATCAGGTGGAGGGCCCTGGGCACACAGAGCCTGCTGCCTGCTGCCTGCTGCCATACTCACAGTTCACAGTGACCTTGACTTGTTTGACATCCGCCGAGGAGACCTCATTGGCTGCTTTGCACTCATATTTGCCCGACTGCTCCCTGGTGATGCCGAGGATCTCCAGATATTCTTCTTCTCCTTCAAATTCTCTTCCTGAAAGACAGAAGTTTGCATGATTGGTTTTTAAAGTTTAACATAGGGAGCAGATTGCCTCTTTTTTTTTTTTTTTAAAGAAAATAATCTACATGATTTTTCAATCATCTGACAAGGTGCTTTGTCTGAGGTCAACTCTACAGAAGCAGATTCTAAGATAAAAAGTCATGTGGGAGTTATTAAAGAGGAAGTCTTCTCAGGAAAAATGGTGGGGAAGTGGGAAGATGAGACTTGGCAAGAAAGAAGCCAAGTCTTCTTTCAAATCTAGCTAAACTACCCTGTTTCCTTGACAGTTCTCTCCTTTCTTGTATTTAATACACAGAAATATACACATATGCTCATAATAACACAGAGAGGCACACAGACACAAAGACACAGATACAAACAACCCCTATTTGAACATATGCTTTAGACTGGTAACTTTTAGTTATCTTAAGTCCTCCTTGCCTTTACATGTGTGCCAGTGAGTCTATATAAATTCTCTGGGAGGGTAGATATAATTTATTCCACTTTAGAGGTCCAGACACTGAAGCCCAAAATCATAAAATGGCCTTTCCTAGGCCAAATTCATAGGAGGCCAGCTGATTCCATCCCTTGGGGAGCTCTGGGGATAGCACATCTCCCACTTCCAAGTCATCCTGACCAAGAAGCCAGGAGCTGGATTATATGTTCACATCCCTCAGTCATTGTTTAGGTATTAGGACAAAATGTGAGTTGGGGGGAGGTATACACAAGTTGTAAAAGGCTGACATCATTGATCACACCACACTATAATGAGCTTTTTTAACCAAGGTTGTGTTAGAAGGAAACATAGCTTTCTTATGAGAAACTGTCACTCTTCTCCTCAGTGTATGTAGAATTCTGTTCACAAAGGTCACGTTCAGAAACCTGTTTTGCAATTATAGCTTTTTTGTTCAGTGTGAAACTCCATCAGTCACTGAGACTTCCAGGCCATGGGCCAGATCCATGAGAATGTGCTGCTGATGGTGCATTTTAAGGAACACTGTCTTAAATAGTTGGGATTGACAGACTTGTTTAATTCCCTTCATGAAGGGAGAGAAGAGATAAATAATGAAGAAGTGGTGGGAGAAGAAAAGGAAAAGGGAACAGAGAAGGTTAAGAAGAAAAGAGGTTGAGCAGGGAGAGCTTGGCCAGAAAGGACTAGGGACTTCAAATCTAGCTAAAGTACCCTATTTCCCTGACAATAAGACAGTGTCTTATATTAATTTTTGCTCCCAAAGATGCGCTAGGTCTTATTTTCAGGGGATGTCTTATTTTTCTATGAAGAAGAATATGGTACACATTTATTGTTAAATGAAAATAAAGGAAATTTATTGCCTGTATACGGTATGGTAGTATGGTAGTTGTCAACACAAATAAGACAAACTGTGAATCCTACAGTATCAAGAATTTACTCATTTATTCAATGACAATCATGTCATCATCTTCTGGAACATCATCATAACAATCCAATTCCTGAATTTCCTGGTGAATTTCTTGTGACTCCATTTCTTTCAGAATCAGTGGACCAAATCTCTCATGTTTAGTCTAGGGGGGGCCTTATTTTCGGGGGATGCCTTATATTTCACTCAGAAGGAAACCTGTAAGTAGGTCTTATTTTCGGAGGATGTCTTATTTTCGGGGAAACATGGTAAGCCCACTCACCCACAAGTTGCAAAACCCCACTGTTGCTTCGGTTACAATAGAGCAGCTGGGAGAGTGCTAAAGAGCATAGTTCTGCAATTCTGGTCATCCTACACTAAACGGTACCAATTAATAGCTCTGCTTAAATGCCACAAGCTGTTTTCCTTTTCTGGAAATTCCCTGATGGCCTTATCAACATACCAGACAGATAGCACAGAGACAAATCCATTGTCTAAAAATGTCAACTGAGCCTGTTAACTAGGCTCCCCGTAGAACATACAGCCACTTTGAAATAGTCTATAACACAACTGTCAGGAATTCCAAACTTAAGTCTTCTGTCAATGTCTCTATCACTAGCTTTGAGGAAACTTTGCAATCCCAATAATAAAAAAGCCAATGGTTATATAGAATTATTTGGTTCTGAAGTCCTAAACATTATGTAGCACACACTTGTACTAAAAAGTGTTTTGAAAAATACATTTATATAATGTTAGCTGCATACCCTATATAATAAAGAGCTAATATGGTAATTAGACAGGATAGTGGAACAAACTTTCTGAGTGACCTTCCAGAACAACTTCTGGAATTACCAGTGGGCAGGAGTGGGGCTGTGCGGCCACGAGGCAGCCCAAGCTGAGAGGGCTGAGCCCCTTGCATGACTTTTTAGTAAAATAGTCCTATATAATAAAGAAGTAATATGCAAATTAACCCTCACTCCCTCATAAAAATGGCTGCCTATGACCAGGTCAGCAGGGGTGTTAGTGAGGGACAATCAAATGACTGAACAGCAGGCTGTGTGGGGCAACCAGGCCAGCAGTGGGGGTTGTGAGGGGCAATCAGGCTGACAAGGGGGCAGCTAGGGACAATTAGGCTGGCAGGGTGGGTAGTAAGGGATAACCAGACTGGCAGCGGGCAGTTGTGAGTGACCAGGCTGTCGGAGGGGGGGGGGGAGCAATGAGGGGCAACCAGGCTGGCAGGGGGACGACAGTTGGGGGTGACCAGGCTGGCAGGAGGGGGTGCAGTTAGGGCTAATCATGCCAGCAGGCAGAGGCAGTGGCAGTTAGAGGTGATCAGGTTGACAGGGGGCAATCAAGGGCAATCAGGCAGGTAAGCAGTTAGGAGCCAGTGGTCCTGGATTGTGAGAGGTATGTCCAACTGCTGGTTTAGTCCTGAGCCCCAGGATTGGGCATAAACCCAGTAGTTGGACATCCCCTGAGGGGTTCCAGATTGGAGAAGGTTGAGCCAATGGCTGGGCTGAGGAGAGCACCCCCCAACCCCTGTGCATGAATTTTGTGCACCAGGCTTCTAGTATGCATATAAATTCTTTGGTTAATCTCTTCCCTATTTACTCTCTCCCCACTTCACTCTCTTTTAGTGATCCTAATCAGAATACCCTTTTACTGGGGAAGGACGGATATGCTCAGTACTCTGCTCTCCAGGCTGGGCGGAGCACCTCTGGTGTTGTCCTGAGGATGTATCTGCTGTGTGCAGTTATTATTTCAAAAAATGGTGCGAGACAACAGAGCCCCTGGTGGAAACAGAACAATGCACTCTTTCATCCGAGCAACTGCAATTGCATGTTTCAAGGCATAGAATACAATGTGTTGGTCTTGAGTCACAAAATCCCAAAATGCACTCAGATTCTCTTGTTCCTCACCCTTTGTACCAATTGTGTCTGTCTCTATGGGGACACCTTTCTCACATTTTTTTTTCAGTTCACTCTGACCAGTTGCTCTTAACCTAAGGGTCCTGTCACCACTTCCTTTCACTTGCTGAGCCTTTCGTTAGGTTCTCAGGCCAGGAAGTCTATAATACTTAACCTGTGGTTCAGTTCTCTGTGGAATGAAGCCTTGTGGCTACAACTTGGGCTCTTTGCTTGTTCCTATCATTTTCTGCCCTTGTATAAATGTTTACTTGAAATGCAAATTTCAGAATTCTGATGTTTTAAACATCTCAAACTATTTCCACAAGCGTGCTCACATTGCCGAGTGTTATATTTATTCTGGGATCGGTGTTTAGTTTAAATTTCTCTTTGCTTAATGTACTTTTGTGTCTCCTGGCAATATGCAGTTACCAGGTTCAATAACTCCTTGTCTCCTCTCGGTGCATGCACCTTTCAAACTCCTGCACATAACACACATATCTCCTTAGTCACTGTTTACTTGTACATATTAGTTCTTTTAATATTTAGTCATAGAGCTAATGGCAAGAGGAAACTATTCTCTTCTGAGCGTTCCTTAGACAGAGGAAATCAGCCAGGCATACTCCAATTAGAGTATGCCAGGTGCTGCCTTCCAAGCACAGTGCCTTCAGAGTACTAACCCTGCTTCTGTGAAACTTGTAGAGATCACATCCAAAATGTTGGTTTATTTAGATTCCAAAGGTCAAGCAGGAGTTTGTAAGCAAGCAGCTATTTACAACTAAATACATTTTGCCCTGGCTGGTTGGGCTCAGTTGGTTGGACATTGTCCCTGCACTGAAAGGTTGTCTTTTAGATCCCCATTCAGGGCACATGCCAGGGTGTGGGTTCTATTCCTGGTGGGGGACATGCATGAGGCAGTAGATCCATGTTTTGATCTCACATCGATGTTCTCTCTCCCACTCTCATCCTCTCTCTCTAAAAAATCAATAAAATGAAATTCCATGCCATTTCTCTTTCTCACTTTCTCCCCTTCTCTCTGTTCTTTCTCTTCCCCTCCCCTCCCCTCCACTCCCCTCCCCTTCCCTCTCCTCCCCTCCCTTCCCCTCCACTCCCCTCCCCTTCCCTCTCCTCCCCTCCCCTTCCCTTCCTTCTCCTCTCCTCTCCTCCTCTCCTCTCCTCTCCCCTCTCCTCCCCTCCCCTCTCCTCCCCTCCCTTCCCTTCCCTCCCCTCTCCTCCTCTCTCCTCCCCTCCCTTCCCTTCCCCTCCCCTCTCCTTACCTCCCTTCCCCTCCCATTTTTCTTCTCCTCCCCTCCCCTCCCCTCCCCTCCCCTACCCTACCCTACCCTACCCTACCCTTTCCTCTTCTCTCTTTCTTTTTCTCTACACACACTCACACACACACACACACAGCTATTTATTTGCATATAACCTTCCACTCTATCTATTAGGAAACAACGTACACATTAACTAGCACCCAAATATTTGCTCATTAAATAAAGCAGACCAGCCGAAACCTGTCTGGCTCAGAGGATAGAGTGTCGGCCTGTGGACTGAAAGGTCCCCAGGTTCAATTCCAGTCAAGGGCATGTACCTTGGTTGTGGGCATATCCCCAGGAGGGGGTGTGTAAGAGGCAGCTGATCAATGATTCCCTCTCATCAATGTTTCTAACTCTCTATCCCTCTCTCTTTCTCTCTGTAAAAAATCAATAAAATA